TTTCCTACTAACCTCTTTCTCCACTCACCTTTTCACTAATCTAATGCTGCTAACAGATTCGCCCTGCTAATAAACCCCTACCTAGTGCTTTTCCTCGCTCGTTTTGATCAAGAAACGAGCGGGATACAACCTTTCACGTTCTTCCCTTTTTACTTGTTTCTGAATGAACCTAGCGCGAATCCGTGTTTAGGTTCATTCAGACTTTCTCCCTTCGTGCTGCTCCTCTCCAACACCACCTCGCAACCCTTTTTCTTACTACCTCCTAACCCGTTCCCTTAGCACTAGAACTAACGTGTTCATTCGATTCGCCCGGGGCCAAAACCCCGGGATAGCATCCCACCTCTCTCGATTCCGCCATGGATCGAGAGAGTTATACTCTCCTTCCCACGCCCGACTCAGCGCCCCGCCATAGCCCGCTCGCTGGCTGAATGCACCCTACACACCTGCTCGTCCAAGTTCGGCCCCCGCCTTTCCCACTATCTGCTCTCACCCATTCCTGGCCTGCGCTGTTCGTTCTTGCCCTCCGTCCCCCTCACTCCCTGCCGAGCTGGCCCTGCCGCCGCCCATCGCTCCTCAGCTCACCGCGTAACCACACCGCTCGTCACCACATTTACCAACCCACCCACACGTACCCGGCTCGTCACCCCGTCCCAGTTCAGCCACCTCGCCCCTATCACTCCTGTGGCCCTCCCCATGCATCCGGCACCGGATCCCATCCGGATCCGACCTTCTCTTTGCCTTCTTTGCACCAACCGCGTCTGGCTCTCTCGTCACATTGCCGACATTGGAGCTCTCACCAGCGCAGCTCTATGCTAAAACGCCCGGACCGCACAGTCATCGAACGGCACCGTCGAAACAGCGGCCGGAACCGGCCCTCCTTCCCCTACGTATGCATGTTATCCGCGCGCAGGCGCCATGCTAATCTTCTCTGCATCGTCCCGATATTAACAGCTGCCCCAAGGGACCCGGCCGCGGTAATACCCCACCCGCGGCTTTTCAAGAGTCAGACCGCCAGCCGCCGTGCCGCGCCCCAGACCAGAACGACCCATGAATAAATAAAATAAAAAAATAAAAAAAGCAAAAATTAAAACTTAGCATAAACAGAAATCCCTAGGCCGGGTGCGGGAACTACTAAAACCCCACCGGTCTCGTGGAGCGGGTCCGTCGTCGCCCCTACCAGCAAAACCGAGGGGGGATAGCCTTGCCAGACCCACAACCCTCTCAGTTTTCTCCACACGCCTATTGGCCTTGATCCCCGTACCTCCGTAGTGAAAGTCCAAGGCCATAACCCATAAGGCTATGCCCCAACTTGGAACATTTAGGCACGGATTCCTATATGAAATAGTGTCGCATCATGCTTAGGCCTGGGAACAACAGCCTGGGCCCCTCTTTCTGCCCCCCAACCAACGCGCCGTCGCTAGGCACCCGCGCCGGCCTACCTAGACCGCGCCATGGCTGCCTCGCGCTCCCGTCCTACCATCGTCCGCACGTACCCGCCCAAGAAACGGACTATTATCCCTTAATCAAACCCGCAACTCGGTCCGGGTCGGTCGGCTAGGCCGACCGCTCACTCAATCATAAAAATATCACACGCGCGGCTTAACACTGCGCGCCCACATACCCTCTAGCTTAACCAGGGCAGGTCCCGGACGCGGTCGTGCCTCGCACGGCTTATGCCGACCAAACCCATTTATTCTGTCATTTGAAAAAAACAGGGCGGATACCCTTGTAAGGGTATTCATGCCGACAACGGAAAAATGTGACGATGGGGCCCTCCTGCGGCATGAGGAGAATTTATTAAAACTCTTTCGTATTTGATGACGACTCTTCCGTGGTGCAGGATGGCAGGAGTTCGGCGCGACCTGACGATTCCTAGGTATCCTTTGATACGGGATACGACCGATGACGATCGCATCGCCAGGGCGGAGAGGATGTCAATGATGTTTGACGGGACTCCAACCCGATGGTTCGGCTTCGTTGGGATCGTCAACGGGGGCCGTGGGTTTCTTCCGGAGGCGCGATCAGCGTGATTCGCGAGCTGCATGGGCATACATTGTATTTTCACCGCGTCTCGAACATCAAACTCATCTCTCGAGTCATCGCCGGAGTACTCTTCAGGGCTTCCGGAGCGCGGATGGTGTTCCTTTGGTTTCTAGATACCTCGACTCGACACCTTCAACGCCTAGGTGTATCTTTTTGGTCCATTTTGTTGATAACTCTTTGGCGCCACGATGGATGGTGGAACTCTACATCGTAAACAATCTACGACTATGATGACGAAGACGAGTGCAGAAGTTGACAATCAAGGAGACGCTCATCATGCGGTGTGCTCGGCTGGGTAGACGCCTCGAGGTGACTCCCACGCTTACAACCGCAAGGCACCACCTTCCTCTATAAGTCCCTTTTGATTGACCGCTAGTTGGTAGCTAGCTATGCTCCTCGAATTGAATCATCAGGTTTCGATCGTAGGGGCGTGAAACATAATAAACCTCGATCGCCTTAGTGGTGTCGACCAGGAAAACAAGGTTGGCCCGCCCCTATGATTATCAATTTTTGTGTCGATTTTCGTTGGTGTCATGATGAGGGGCGACGACGGCACAAAGGTTTTACCTTTTCTTTTGTATATACTTAGGTGGCATGCATTCGTAGTTAGGCGATGACTTATACATTAGGCAGACCGTAAATAGTATAGGTGGAGGGAAGTCATGAAAAATAATGAAGATAAACATGGACACGTTGCCATGACATGATGTTTGCCTCGGAATTCGATTAAGCAACCTGTGAGTGTCCATGGTGACTTTCTTATCGACCGTGTATGCATCAATTATGGGACGCTTTCGAAAACTTTCTCTTCAGTTTTGTGTAACAGTGGGAGTAAAGGAATATTTCCTGTTGTCAAATTTTGTAATCCTTGCGAAGGACTGTCACTTGGTCACTAAGACGAGTCGCCACTTATATATTGCATCCGTGAGCTTTGTTCACGACATTTATGAGTATCTTGGTTGCAAAATTTATGTGTTTGTTTGCCACGTCTATGTGTATCTCAGTTGCTACATTTATGTGCTTGTTTGCGACGTCTATGTGTATCTCAGTTGCTACGTTCATGTGCTTGGTTGCGACTTCTGCATGTTTTAATGCGATGTATGCGTGTTTTAATTTCAGTACCTTCCTTTCCAAAAGAAGGTGCCTTTATGAAAGAACTAAAAGCAGCTAGAGTTATGATTGATCAGACGAAGTCCAATCGATCGACGTAGTCCGCAGAAAATCAGCCACCCATGGAACGAGCGGCTTCGTTAGGATCGATCTATGTTCACTTGTAAGAGTTGTTTGTACTACGGCGAAACGAGCAAAACGCCCTTGGCTGGTCTACCTCTGCAATTGCATGTAAAAGTTTTCGTATGTAGATCAGTAGCTCGGTAGCGATACGCCTATGAGCTCGGTAGTGAAACGGTGTGGGTCCACTTTTCAAAAACAGAAGAGCAATTCGGATAGAACACGTGTTCATTGTGTTCGAATACAACATGTTCCCTTTCTACTCGAATTTTGAAAAGGAAAACTCTTGTGTTCCAATCACATATTACTTTTTTTTTTTTTTTTTGGAGGCCTGCGCCTGCCCTTGTGCTCCCCACCACTGACATGGTGCATGCTGCAGGTCTCTCTCTCTCTCTCTCTCTCTCTCTCTCTCTCTTTTTTTTTTTTACACACACACACACACATATACACACATCCTGTTGTCTACTGGTGGGGAGCGGCACCTGCTGGAAACTGGGTCCAGCGTCCCATGAACATTGTTAATGGAGCAGCAGCCAGAACCCCCCCCCCCC